AAAAAATGAAGGGCAGAACTCAAGCGAATTTTTGAGGAAGCAGGCACATGCACTGCAACGAAATGAAACTGGTCATATGACATAAAATGATTTCAGTCACTTTCAGTCCAACCACTAAACAATTCGTAAAGCGAGAAAAATTCTGTAGCGATTTAGAATGCAGAAAAGTGGGGAGACGACATTGTGGCTACTCTACTACCGTGATTGAAAGAGTTATCACCTTTTTGAGAATTTCATGAAACGTTTGATTCCAAAGAGTAGCTGGATGGATAAGATCGTCATGGAGAGAACTACGTCACTCCAGCTTTAGGCTTTTCGAAATGTTCTGTTCAACCACATCCAGCATCTTTTTCCGGATATATATTGCAACAGCCACAGAAACAATTATTACAGCATCAAATGAAAAAACTAGAGAGTGAAAAGGAAACATTAAGCTTAAGATAGTTTGAAACCTGCTAAAAAATTTTTTAGAGTTCATGGGACGTACATAAGAATGTTATTCCCGCATACCTTCAGCATGATTACGCTGCATATTGACACAAACTGTGGCCACTCTTCAAGTACTTCTGAAGGGTGCACAAAGCTAAGAATTTGATGAGATGATACTTGCAATCTGCAGAATAGTCCGACAAAAAATGTGCAGAGGAAAAGATAACACTTAGAGTGGCAAGAGACAACGAATTTGTGACAAGAAGAGTACAAGAAAGCGAATGAAAATTATCTCAGAGCGTAAAAATCACTCTCAGACGGCGGAAGGAGCATTACCTTGAGAGATAAGTGATAGAGGAAAAGACTTTATATGCGTCTGCCATTGCGAGCTGCATTGAAAATATCGAACACGTTCATAGATGAAGCCATCAACACTAACTATAATGAAAATCATACAATACCAAATCCAAAGCTCAAAGATGATGCAGAAAAACGAGCAAACCTGTGAGATCGTTGTGCTTGCTCGCCCCACTGCAGAGTAGACGAGAGACTGCTCCCACAAGAACCGGAGGATTTTCGTTCTCAGATCTCTGTAAGAATTCTTGATCTTGTAATGCAAAATGATGTTTCTAAAAGAAGACATGAAAAATAGAGATTCTGAGAAGAGAATTTTTGTATAGAAGCAGATTTCACAACCTACTTACATCCACATTAACAATCTCTAGAATTATTTTCGATTTTGCTGAAACTTAGCATAGACTGGTAGATTAAAATGCAGACTTTGAAAACTGGTACTGTCCTGATATTTTATAGGAAA